TTTGAAATAGTTGAGTGGGAGATGAAGAAATAGACATAGTATCTATAGCTCACCTGGTTATGAATGCTTGCTGCTTCTTCAGGAGGAGGGAAATAGGCTGTTCTTGAGAGAGATTTGGTGATCAAGACATGGCTTGTATAAAGGATGGCAGATACCAGGTCAAGTAGGTGATGTAATAAAGGGAGAAACTCCTGATGGAAGACAGAGGGGGACAACTGCAAGAAGAAAATTGTTAAGAAATAAGACAGGTTCTAGTCTAGGGCACAGGTAGAGGCAAGACTTGCATTTGATTCCAGATTCAGGTTTCAGGGTGGTCACTCAGCTTGGTGATAGGATGCTGCTGTTTCCTTGGCAAAGCATGAGGCAGTGTAATGGGCGCTGGAAAGCAGCGTGAAAAGGCATTTTGGAGAGGGAAGTAGATTCTCAGGATAGTAGATACTTGAGCAAGGAAAAAATGTTCATTTGACATTATGACTATCTTTTTTTCAAGTAACATTCAAGGACTGGACTAATATTGCTAAATTTTTCTGACCACTCAAATCTACAGATTCAATGCAACCCTCATGTTTGTTACAGTTTGAATACAAAATGTCCTCCACAGGCTCATATATTGAATGCTTAACTTTATTTGGGGAGGTTGTGAAAATTTTGAACGTGGAGCTTTGCTGGAGAAAGTAGGTCCCCTAGTCAGTCTCTCTCTCTCTCTCTCTCTCTCTCTCTCTCTCTCTCTCTCCTTCCTGTCTTACATAAGTCAAAGGGCCTCCTCCACCACATGTTTCTGCCATGTGTCCTGCTCAAGTGTACAAGGCCAAGCAGTCATAAAGAGAATCCTCTGAAATCATGTTAATGCCACATCAAAAGCAGTGATGATTGTTTTTCAGAATCAGATTGTTTTTAGAAGGAGACCTAAGAGGGCTGTGACATTTTCTTTAACTAATGAGGTGCCGACACTGTGAGTTTGGAGGTAGTTATTAAATTAGACTGTGTGTGACTAGAAAAAAGGGGAGGTGGGTAAAGGTAGTTTTAATGATAAACAATGTGGAGTGACACAGGTCTATAAAGTCACTATAATGATAAAGTGAAGTTACTTCACTGAAGGTCTCTATAAAGTCACTACGAAGTGATAGAATTGGAAAAAGAACACAGGAAATTTGGCTAATCAATGAATATGTCTGTTCTTTATCACTAAATATGTCTGTCTGAAAAGTCCATCTTTTTTGGATGGGCAAAAGATGAAACTGCATAGAACTGTTTCATGAGTACTAAATGTCAGAATACATTCTTTTTCATTTTTAATTTTTTATGTTTATGAGTGTTTTGCCTGCATGTAAGGACACCCATGCATGCAATGCCTGGGAGGCCAAAAGTGGGCATCAGATCCCCTAGAACTGGAATTAGATGTTATCTACCATGTGGGTGCTGGGAAGGGAACCTGGGTCCTCTGCAAGATCAGCCAGTGCTCTGAACTGCGGAGCCACCTCTCCAGCCCTAGGATATATTCTTAACCATAATTTTGAATCAACTTTCCTAAGACACTGTGTCCCTAGCAAAACAGGAGACACAGTATTGACAAGCAACAGTCAGGTGGAGCTCTTAAGTAACTAATGAAATCGTTAAGCACATTAATGGCAAAATCAAAAAACAAAGAAAAAAAGAAACCACATTCTTATGCTGTCAGCATCTTGGTCTCAAAATCTTCACCAAACAGAACACACCTCAAATCACAATGCACATCATTCTTCACAGAATCCAGCTATGGCTCAATGGGCATTTCCTATTAATTATCCTTGGTCTGTGGATAATTACTTTGAAAAAATCCAACTTCTATATAAGTAACTATCTAGAAATGATGAATTTTGAAGGATATGTCCTCAACAACAAAATTAGAGCAATTAAGTCATTTAGTACCACTTAATTCTGATGAGTCCAGGCACATTGGCAAACTGTTTATAGATATAATAAATACAGCACCAACTCCTGTTGAACTGTTCTAGGGGCAACACTGCACCTACATGGATCCTACCTGGCTTTGTCCTTTGATTTTCTTTACTAACGTCGTGTTATATCCATTGAACACCCACAGTTTTGGGGGCTTACATATACTCTATACTTTAACAGAGAAAAGTTTCTTTGTTTTTACAGAACAAAGAGGAAAATACATTCTTCTTCCTAGGATGAAAAAATTTTCTTTGATTTGCTAAGACTTTCTTGGGCTTGAGCTGCAGCTGTGATAGGGCATTTGCTGGGCATGTCCCATCCCCATCGCTGCAACACATTAACAATCTACTTAATTAAAGCATATTGCCCTTTCCTGACACAAAGTGAGTGAAATAAAACTATTTCAGTACTGGTAAATGCTATTTAAATCAACTTTCTGAATTACTGAAATGCTTCAGAAAATGATCCTAGCCCAATATCTACATCTTAAGATGGTGTCGGTTTATTTTATGTCAAAAGCACATTCTGAGGTTTTAACATTAGGTTTTAATTCAGTAACACTTTCATCTGGTTGGCCTTTAAATTGGAATTTAGTCAGAGGACGAGCATGCGGGTGTCAGGTGCCCCCTTGTGGAGGAAACATAAAATAACTAAATATAATTTGAAGTCTAAAATAGGTACATGGTGAATTTTCCATTTTTTCTTGCCATATATTGATTTAAAAGATTTTATGAATTGTTAGATTCAGGTGTGGTGGCACACGTCTCTAATACTAGCACTCAAAAGGCAAAGGCAGGCGGATCTCTTGAGTTCAAAGCCAGCCTGGTTCACATAGTAAATTACAGGCCAGCTGGGGCTGTAAGGAGACAAGTCTCAAAAAATAAATAATTAAAATTAAAAAATAATCCTGTGTTAAGTACTAAGGATCGAAAGACAAATGGGATAAATACGTGCCTTGAAGGAGCTCATAGTGGGTAAAAATGGCTGAAATTTAAACTTTCCTTGCTAAGTGCTTTCATAGTTCTATTAATTCTAGGAATAAAATTCAAATTTGTATCTTTAACGGCTTAACTACTCTCCAGCCCTAGTGAAATTAATTTTGTTGGTCTTCTTTATTTTTGTATGGATTTCATGGCAACTGATACTATCTAGAAATTTCTGATAGGTGATTCGTAGATACAGTAATTTAATGTATTTATATACAACTATAAAACCTAATTACATTATTTCTAGAGCTCTTGCTAAGATAGCATAAATTCACATGCTCAAAAGTATTTAATGCTTTATTATTTTAATTCCTACCAGGACAGCATTAAGAAACTAAAGAGCCCCTCTCATTTGTTAATTCAGTATCAATGAGATCAGAACCTAGTCTGATTGCACTCAAGTTTTCTTGGTGAACCGATCCAGTATCTGTTCAAAGATTTCTAATAGAAAGAATGAAGGATTTTATCAAGTTAAAACACAAGATAGGCTTCTCTAACAGTTAGAGTGCATGGGTGGGGACACACACACACACACGGAGAATTGTTTCCAACATCAGCTACTGAGCAGCTGTCACAGTATTCTTGTGTTGGGTGGAACTTCCTATCAAGTTATGAAAAGTCCCATATCCAGTTACTAGTCCCCAGCATCCCCCAGTCCCAGGCTTGGCACTGCTCAGCCAACTGATACATCTCTAATGCCAGAACAAAGTGATGGTATAAATAATTTAGTTGGGTCTTCTTTAATCCTATAAAAGCATATAATGATCCCGACTCCACTAACCCACTGCAAGCATGTAACCACTGCATTACAGCTTCACTGAGTGTGCAAAGTTTTAAAGAATGTATTCCTACTTCACATAAATGAATGAGTCAAGATATTCACAAAGTTGATTTATTTACAATCAGTGGTTCTAGATTCAACCTCAAGACATTTTTAAGATGGCAAAGAAACTTAAAAGTGGTGGGGTGTGGGTGTGAGATAGAAGTCTTAGCACATCATTTTAAACCTATGGGTGTGGTGGCACACACCTGGAATTGCACTTGGGAGATGGAAGCAGGATCAGGAATTCAAGGCTAACCGAGGCTGTATACCAAGCTCAAGGACAGCCTGGACTACATGTGACCCTGTCTCATAGAACAGAACCCTCGAAACCAATATATGCTTAGTATTTTTATTTCTATGAAATATTTTCAGTGCAGTTATTTTTGTCTCATTTTCAAAACTTGTCATTTTACCTTTTGGATTATTACAGCACCTTTATGAGTCCTTTTCTGTTTCCACACACAGAATTATGAACTACCTGTTATTTCTAGCATTTCCTGTGTTCTACATAAGGCTGTTTTCAATAATGGGTAACAAAATGAACACCTCTATCAGTGCTTTAGAACAGTTTCATGGGCTGAAACAAAAGTTCCTTTGGGTATGATTTTGAATGTGTACATATCTCAAGCCTCAAATACAGTATACAGTTGATGACTCAATGGCATTTAGTTTTTAAACTCATGACATTAGGTGTGGACCATGAACCTAGAATGAGATTTTCTCAATTATACCCTATTATACCCCGTTTATTACTTTATTTCATGTTCCTGTGGTGCTTATTCATTCATCCATTCATTCCTTTACCCATTCAGAAATGAGCATCATACAATGAAGTCGTGTTTCCTCTCCTCCAGATGTGCCAACATGCCTGTAACTCCAGCAGTCAGGAGGCAAAGTCGGGAGAATTCACATTCAAAGCGAGTCTGGGCTAAATAATGTGCATGAGGCCAGCTGGGATCACATACAGTGAAACACCAAAATGAAATTAGTCTCAAAACACCAAAATGAAATTAGTGATAAGGACTAAATCAGAGGTCATCAGAACATTCAAAAAACCCAGACTAACCTTTGAAGTGAAAGTAGAAATGAGATAACTAAGGTTTTCTAGGTTGGTGGATTTTGAAAGGTTTTCAAGGGATAGAACAATGCAATACTTCAGAAGATTCTACAGATTGGAGAAATTAAATATATGCTAGATTTAGAAGGACCTAGTCAGAATTTCATCCTGCATTGAGACATTTCAAGTAAAGGAATTAAATGATCAGACTTGAATTTTATTAAGGCCACATAGGCAATAGGGAGCGATGGTGGAGGCACAGAGGAGTCAACTGCATTCGCTTGGGCCCGAGAACAGACAGTAACGTAGGACGGATAATCTAAGTTTACAGCCTTGTTATTCTCAATGCAGCCCCCAGGTAGTCAGCAGCGTATACACAAACTCAGGGCTTCTAGAAATCATCTCGTCTCTTACCTCTTGCCTTCAAAAACAGCATTAGCAATCGATCGTCTTGGGTCATCTGTGTGTCTGAGAGATTCCAGGAGCAAGGAGTATACAGCAAGGCTAGTTACTATTTTAAGTACAATCATTTTAAGGTGTTTGTGGAATATCCAAGGAGGCTGACCCACAGATGGATATGTGAGTCTCAGGCTAGAAATAAGTCTGGCTTAGAGACAGTTTAGGATTTATCAACCACTTGGTATTTGCAGCCATGATCAGACCCATTTCCTGGGATTCAGCCAGAGAAAAGATATCATTAGTCAGGCAGAGGGCTCAGGAGAGAGTCCTAGAAAACATTACTTAAAAGTCACATACGGCAAGCGGAACTCCACAAAAAAAAACCCAGAAAGAACTTCCAGTGGGAGGAAGAAACAATGTGAGAAGTGGGATGAAAAGTTCCAAGTGGCAGGATGGTCAACATTCTCACTCTGCAGCAGAAGTCACATATAGACAAAGAGTCCTTTAGATTTGGCAATCCTGATGTCAGAGTAAAGCTAATGGGCGGAGATTATTTCCCATTATTTCTTTCTTGACCTCAGTATATGGAAATGCAATTTAGAGATTCTGCTTTCAAAGTTCAGATGAGTAGAGCATGTGGTGTGCAGCCAGCTTGCAAATGTTCTCTCGTCCACTAGACGGTAAATTCTTTGAAGCATAAGGAAGGCACATAAAGATGAGTAAGACTCAGTCCTAACCCTCAGAATTTCTAACAAGTAAGAAACAAGACGAGTAACTATAGTACAAGATGGGGTAGTACAATTTATAAAATATGGGGATTCAAGAGGAACACACCATGCACAGACAACCAAGAAAGGTTGCTCACTGCTCAGCTGCCAGCACAGAGAACTGCACACAAAAATACTTGAATTATAGTAATTGATGACCTTTCTTTCAACAAATCTAGTCCATCAGTAATAAAGAGAGAATCCCATTTATTCCAAAATCCAAGCAAACTTCAAACTCATTCATGAGATATTTATTAAAATAACACATTTAGGGAAAAAAATCAATACAATGTATACATCATTACTGAAAACTGTATACCATCATACAAAAAAGGACTTTATTTTGGGAAATCGATTTCTAATTTATGGCAAGTTTTACTTTTAGAAATAAATCCACAGAACAATACATTCTAATTCAACCTTAAAGACTGGCATGCTGAGCAAGGAATGTTCTTATTCTCTGTAGGAGCTCCTTCTTTACACTGTCAGGTACCAGTGCTGAAACACAAAAATGAAACATCAGAGTAAGAAGATTCCAATGACCACATGTTAATTTGAGACTTACCAATCAATAGTGGAATTTCACCAATTTATGGTTGAATAAAACAAAAAGAAAAAGATATCTGGAGCAAAGTGTACATTTGTAATTTCTTCTTTTTAATGAACCATCTAATACCTAAATATACTGCACAATGGTGAGAAGAAAACAAATTCTTTAAGCTAGGAGCATACAAGTTCATTTGAAAATGCAAGGCACACTGATAAACCGGACTTAAAACACATCATCTTACACTTGGTCAAATTACATTAAGCAAAGTCTAAAGATAAAACTTGGTTAACCATTCTTACAGAAAAGCAGTGATTAACAAAGTTGTTTCAAATTAGTAAGGAAACGACCTCTGAGCTAACAAAAATGTGCAATGGAAAGGAAGAGAAAGAGAAACACAGTTCTTAGGCAAAAAAAGAAAATGACATTCAGAAAGTACTCATTAGTAGACTAAAATCCTACCAGCAGTAACATGACCAAAGGAAAGTAGGCATTTGCTGGTGGGGGTATAATAACTGATACATGCTCTGGAAGGTAACGTGACAGGACTTTACTGAAAAAATGAATGCACACACTTCGTGATACAGCAAAGATGCAAAACCTGCAACAATGTAATTTGTTATACTTTTATTTCCTGAATTTTGAACTATGTGACTCTATTATCTATCAGATATTAAGAAAAAAAAAGAAAAAGGGACTAATTAAAACATGCAATGCATTCACTTGTATCCAAGGCAAAGGGAAATTTTATACACAGTACATCATTTCTGTGCAGAGTCAAGTAAACTGTTTAGGCTGAGCCTCCCTGCTCTGTAATCAATAAGAATTATCTGTCAACAATCAAGTTGTTTGGGGATAAATATGTTTGGCTATAAAAGGTATCAACAGAGCTTGAAAGAATTTTGGAAAGAGAGGGAGATGTTTATATTATAGTGGTGGCTTATAACCTACATCTGCATAAAATTCATAAAACTACCCTAAAATGTCAGTTCTACTGTATGCTAATAAAAAAGAGATCTACTGACAAAACAAAAGACTACAACCACAAAAGAAACAAATTCATTGTACTTCTCTTGATTTGCTCATTCTCTATCAGGAAGGCTATAAGATATGGACATAGCAAAGATGAAATACTGAAGAAGAAACAGGATATTTCTAACTTAAATATATGATTTATAAGCAATGTTAACAGGTTAAGAATTACAGAACAGAAAAATAAGAGGAAATTAGCTTATTATTAAATGAACAAGTATTTGTTCCTGACACATACTTGAAAAAGCAAAAAAAAAAACAAAACCCCTAATTTTCAGTTTCAAACTTGCTTTAAGAAAAGGACCATGGGGTTTTACAGCTCCTTCTCAACAGGGAATTAGGAATTCTTCTGTAATTTTCCTTTATATATTTTATACTTAAATTATTTTGACTACTGCTGTGTGTAAAAGCATCTTAGAGCTCATCTAATTTAGCTGCTTTCATTTGCAAATGTAAAAAGCCAAAACAGATGAAAACAGTACAGCCACATCAGGATGTGTTCCTGACTTACTGTTCAGCACACATCATCAAGCAGTATTTCCTACCTTCCTTTGTCTCCTGTGAACAATGTTTTAAAGGAGAACTAAAAAAAGTGGTTGCATTATAAGTCTTAAATATCTGTCAATTTTTGAACATGAAGTTATGGAATTACCAAGTTCTTAACTGGACATTCAAGAAGACAGACTTTCATTTATTTTTAATAAGGACAGAGATAGCAGGACAATGACTCAGGGACTGGAGCAACACTTTGAATTATTAAGTACTGAAGTAGAGTCAGGCCATGTCTAAGAAAGTTTATAAATCCTAGCTTCAGCCTTATATCCCAGTGTAAAATCCCGTATGTTAAAAAATGTTTTGTCTTAACACTATCAAGAAATACTGGTAGACTGTTTTAAAATGCAAAAAACAGTTTATACCTATTATCTTGTTACTTAGACCACTAAAATAGCCAGGGAGATAAAATACTAACTTTTCCCACATGAAGTGATAAAAGTACCCAGTGATTTTGGAAAGGGTGGCTTTCCTAGGAAAAAGAAGGATTATTTGACTGAATGCAAGAAAACATGTCTGAGGCCTATGCTTCCTCTAACAGTTTGTGCTCCTTACCTCTGCCTTTTGGAGTGATTTCAGCCACCAAGTCATCAACAGTAACGTGTTCTAGTCCTTTTTCTTTAATTACCTCTTATGCAAAAGCAAAAAACAAATCATATCATTTAAAATCATTATCTGTAAGAAAGATTTTCATAGAGGAAGGGTTAAAATCATGTTTTTAGAGTGTAGATTGGTCTTTAAATAAAAAGAGGACACTTCTTTTTTTCTTTTTTAATGAAAATTTACAACCTCATAAACATTGTCTCCAAATTAAAAGACAAAGTCTGTTCATCTTTCAGCTAAATAACTTGTAATAACAAATAGTTGCAATACTTAGAATAAACTGGAACAGAAGTAGTCAACCTTTGCAAAAAGCTGGAGATTTACAACTGAACAGACTTAATTTTAATATAAGTATACTATTTAAATGTATCTGGGGAATAAAATTCATTATTTGTGTATATAAGTTAAAATGTAGACCTTAAATGTAACAAAAGTTAAAATGTAGACCTTAAATCCAATTAGAAAGTAGTTGCTTACTCTCATAGTATCTGTGCCACTACTGCAACGGTGGGCATATTTTTGACTCTATACACATTAGTACAGGAAATTGGGCGGAGGGTAGTAAGACAAAGGTGCAGATCTAAAAATGATCAAAATATATTGTATGAAATTTGCAAAAATTCCTTTAAAAAATGTAGAGCTACTTTGCTCTTTTATCTTCTCTAGCCTGGGCCAAAGAAACGTAAGGAGTAAATTAATACTTACAGGAACTCTATAAGCTGGTTTATAACATTTACTATCCACAGTAAACTTACAGGCTAGTCATTCCTCCCACTTCAAAGGTGAGGTGACTGAGGCATACAGATTAAATTGCTCATTGGAACATGGGCAGAAAAACAGCTCCAGTCCTTTACTGGTGAAGGTTGCATGATCTCAGCATTCCTCCGTAACTACCCTGCCTCTTATAGTTAATGTACGCAGAGCCTATTATTCCTATAGTTAATGTGTAGAGTCTATTATTCTTACTTGCAGAAACCATTATAATACTATGAGGTTCATTACAAACATCCAGAATTTCACTATACCAAAAACTGAGCCAAAATGGAGGCTCATTTTAGAAATTTATAATCTATCAAGTAGTACCAAGAATACCCACCAAAAACCCAAAACCAAACAAAAAACTTCTATTGTGCATTTTTTTCTACAGTAAGTATAATTCTCTTAATAACACTGTTACAAACAACAGATATAATTCCAACTCTATCAAGTATCAAATACTCATTTTATTAAGGGACAGTATATCAGAAGTATTAATGTTACTAAAAAACAAATAATTCTATATTTTGATCACAGAAAATCTCAATACTCATGCCTTACTTGGTTTTGGAGAATACTAAGAAAGTTCCTAAAAATTCAGCAAGTAAGTCTACAAAAACCACCACTGCTGTAAATTCAATTTCCTATTTGTTTAAAACTATGCTTGAGTGTTTATACTTTAAAAAGTGACTACACTTCTTTCTAGTGAACCACAGAGGAACAATGGAAGTAGTTTATCTAAGTGAAACTGATTACCTTTACAGTGTGCCTTCAACTGATCCTTCCAGCCGCATTCAATTAATTTAGCTCTCAGCAACTCTTTGAGGCTGTTTAAAAAGGAAAATGTTTTCAAATTAATCAACACACAATACCTTAGATAGGAATGCTTGAAACAAAGGTACAAACTCTTCAACTAAAACCCCTGCTTTCCAGTTCCCCAATTTTAAGCGGCCTAATCCTGATTCTAGTACTTAGTTTTTGATGTTATGAAGGTCGATTAAACTCTGGAACATGAATTTCATCTGGTCTCCCTTAAGAAGAGTAAAATTCAGTGAGAGGAGATAAAATACTCCTGGATCTCCACTGTGTGGATTTTGCACAATGTCCATTCTACCATCAGGAGTAGAAACGTTCCCATTCAACTCCTGGAGGGCATCAGCTGCACCTGTGAAATGTTGGGGTTCCAAAGCTGTCCTGCTTCGCTCTCTCTTACTTCCTGAGTGTCTCCTTCTCCTTTCAGTAACTGGCACATCTTTCATAATTGAATTAGCGGGATTTTTTTTTTCTCAATGCTAAAAAGGCTGTACATTGAGACCAGTGGCATCGATACAGTATTTTGCTACCCTCTTTGTCACATCCATTTTTGTAAATTCAAACTCCTTCACTGAAATAGTTTCTGTTTAAAGAGATTTTCTTTCCCTGCAAACCATTACTCTTTCAAGATCCCTAGAGATACACCATGATCTGTCTACCTTAACATCTAATTAGATGTTTGAATTTTAACAGTCAAAACTCATCTTCTCTCCCACTTCATCCCATTCTCCTCACAGCAACTCCATTATTTTGGTTCCTCAGGCTGGAATGTGCAGCACCCTTCATTCCTCTACATGAGCAAATCCTACAGGGTTCGCTTTAAGGTGTTTACCTAGAATGCAAATGTTTCTCCCATCTCTGCCCTTAGTACCCAACTCCCTAAACGGTCTCCCTGCTTCTTCCCTTGAATGCATCATTCTCCTATTTCTCAAAATCTTCCAGTGCCTTCCCAATTTACTCAGAATAAAATTCCATGATTCCACTATAGCCCAAATGAGCCTTCTCCGAAGCCATGCAGCTGCCCCCATCTCATTCCTACCTCACCCACTTTATTCCTCAGCCTCCAAACAATTACTCTGCAATTACTCCGGGAAGCTGGGTTGGGACGGTAGGACAGTAGCTCCTGGAGCTCACCTTCTCCTCATACCCTTCTAATCTTTCATCAGTGAAACTTTCCTTTTTCTGTCTAAAACATGACCAGCCCTGCTTATCCTCGACTTTATTCTTCTCCTATCATTCATCGCCATGTAACATATTACACATTTATCATGTTTTCATCCATAAAACGAAGTTCCAGAAAAGCAGACTTCATTTTTACTATTGTATCTTTGGCATCGTACAGACAACAGCACGTGACAGAAACTAACTTTTTAAGCTTTGTGAATAAGGAAGGAAAGTGTACTTTTCTAAGCTCATTACTAGCAACACTTTCTCATGTTAGCCACAGGCTGCTGTGGACACCTCCTCCTTCACATGGAGGTCTGTTTCTCCTTGCAGTTTTGAAAAAGGAAGTCCTGCTTCCCACTTTCGCTGTTTTTCATCTTCACCCCAACATCAACTAACATCTTATTTTGCTACCCTCTTTCTTGGCCCCTTCAAATCTACCATCCACACTGCAAGAACATAATTCTTACAATGTAAAGTAATCTAGTTATTCCCTTTCTTGAAATCTTCAATGATTCCCACAGTCCAAGGATAAAGACAGCTACAGGTGCTTTGCAGACCAAGGCCCTGGCTTTCATACCCTTTCACAGTAAAATAAGCAAAGAACAAAACCAATGTGCACTCTCAGTATACAAATCTGGACAAGGTTCTTGTGATAGAAGTATGACCTGGGCAAGGCTGATCATAACTTGCCTATTACCTAAGCAAGATGGCAATCAAGTGAAGCTCTTTGCTGAGAAAGGTACTCTGAGCTGGTGGAATGTAAATTTTGAACTGCTAATCTCTGCCACCTGTGGGTAGGGCCTGTTTGAGAATAAAGACAAAGAGGAAAGCAGAGCTGAGAGAGGAAAAGATAAATCTTGCAACAAATTCTAGCTGCCTGGACTCAATGATGTATAATTTTCAAGTCCTAAAGTTTTAAATTAGATGGATTGATATATTTCCATTGGTTAAGCCAGTTTCCAAATTCAGTTTGTTTTAATTGGAGAATTCTTCTACAAGATCCACATTCCCATATACTGTTTCACCACAAGCTTTTACACTTTTCTAGTTCTCTCCTATTAATTCTATAGTTCTCAGAACATTACCATGCACCAAAGCTCTCTGGCTGCATATTCTGGACCAGCAACAAACTGCTGCTTTTTCTACTGTAGATAAAATTCTGTTTTATCGAGATCTTACCCAACCCCCCCCCCCCCCCC